AACTTTGAAACTTAGACCATGACTAGAAAGACAACAATAAAAATAAATAAAATAAGATATAAAAATATGGTAAATTTTAAATTAAATTAAAATTAACCAACCACAAATAAAATCAAATTGAAATTCAATATAAGTTAGTGTTGTTTAAGCTAATTACAAACGGAGAAAGAGTTTAGGATATAAATTCAACTTAAATGTAAAATACATAGACAGACTCCCAACCCAAGATGATCCTCTTATGACCACGAAGTTCTCGAACACTCCACCTTGACCAATAACCAATGAACACATAATTAAATATATAAACAAAATACAAATTTGACTTTTGACTAAAGAAACGAAAGAACAAGTAAACAAAAAAATCAGTTTTAGACGATTGAGTAAAGGTGGAGGAGGAGAAAGATGAAGAAACATGTGTATAATGACGTGTAATATTAAGAAATAAAATAGGGGTAAAAATAAATTAGAGACTATAGGGAGAAAATAATCCAGTGGGGCCGCAGTTGGTGAAACCGAAGATGATCATCCTAGGTATTCAGAGTTGACCCCACACTTGATCAGATCCCAACTCAAAGAACTCTCTGACACCCGATCCAATGGCTCAGGATCGGGTTCCCACTTTCAAGTACACTACGCAATGCCACCTCGTAATTTGAACCCCAACGCGTGTCATCACCACAATTGTCAGCCCCACATCTCGGACTTACTCTTTTACCCTCCACACGTTTTGGCCGGTGCCACCTCCTCTCCCTCTCCCTTTATTCCACTAACATTAATTTTTATTTTATTCCTTTCTTACTTTTTAAACTTTTTTCTTTCAATGTTTTAAGTAATTAATTAAAAAAAATTGCATGATTAATTAGATAAACACAATTTGATATTATATCACACGTCCAATGTATTATTATTTAAGTTCACATAGTTTTATTTTTTAAATATATGAATGTGACATAATTTATGACGGTTACATTAATTAAATTTTTTAACTAACTAAAAAAAAAAAAGCAAAATGACTCGTCCTAATAACTATGGGGCCCGATGACAAATTAATTTTTGGAACCGAGCTTTTGTACCAATAGAATAGTATTTTTTTAATTATATATTCAATTATATTATTTTTAAAATAAAAAAAGGTCGGTTAATTTTTTCCATTAATGTTTTTTTACTGCTATTTAATATAAAATTTTAAAATAGGTGTTAGTATGTTGTTGAATTAAATCACTAAAACGTAATCAATTTTAGTATTATTAAATTACAATAAAATTCAATTATATGGTTTGAGGACGACAGCAATTAAATTGAATCAAATCCGTTCATATGATCGCACAGAAGATCTGACCTAATTTTTCTTATTTTGATTGAAAAATAGACAAACAAAAGCACAGTAATTTTGTTGTCTGATCACAAATTTGTGGATAACTCAAAATTTAGTACAAATTACAAAATTATTGGAGAAGAAAATGATGATGATGATCCATATAAATTCTTACAAACCGTTCCCAAATCAAAAATCTCGTACACAATTCGTTTTACCTTACGAGAAATTCCATTGAGATCCTGCAGCTTAAACCAAGAGAAGCCCAGCCAGAAGAAGCCAAACCACGGCGGCGGTGGATCTCCGGCCGGCGGCGTTAAAATTCTGATCGATGGGATAGAGGTCGCCGGGAGGGCCGGTTATGTACATGAACGCGGAAGGCGGAGGCGGAGGGCAGTTGGGGTTCTTGTGGTCCTTCTTCTTGGGCGGTGGGGGAGAGTAGTAGGGGAGGAGGTCAGGGGGCGGAGGAGACGGCGGTGGGGGTGAGGGGTAGATCGGCGGCGGGAGAGATGGGGGGTTTTGCTCGCATGGGGTACACTTGACGGTGGAGTCGTCGAGGCGGCGGTGGTTGGCGGCGGTGGTGGTGGAGGAGGGGGAAATTAGGAGGAGGAGGAGAAAATAGAGAGGGAGCATTTTTGGGTTAAGAGAGAAGTGGGTTAGGTGATGGGTGCATGTAAATTGTATAGAACTTTGAAGACTTTTAAGAGAGAGAAAGAGAGAGAAGAGAGAGAATATTCGGAGTCCATGTTAGGGGCCCACCGCCCGCCTCTCTCCACCGCCGTCTGATTCACATTGCTTTTTCGTTCCATCATCAATGTTAAATTAGTTGTACCAAAAAAAAAAAAAACTAAAATAATTAAGGTGTTAATATGACTGGATAATTATTTTGGTTTAGGTTAGATTTTTTAAAAATTTTATCTAGTTTATTCATTAATAATTTTTAGCCGTTAACCTGGCCAATCCAATTCAACTCTATCTTCCCTTGAAAAAATTAAAAATATTTAAGGTTTATAATCGATATAAGGGATAATTAAAATTACCAAAATAAAATTAAGGTTAAATTAATAAAAATACCCTTAAATTTTGGAGATAAATTATGAAGTTTCTCTCGTCCAACAAAATTTACTATAAGCCTCTCATCTAGATTCAACTCTTTTCTCTAGAGCCCTCGAATAAAGTAAACCCTTTGTTCGACACTTTAGTCACTTTTGACTACACCTTCGAGGCTCAAAATTCTTTGTTCGATATTTGAGGATTCTATTGTCATGGCTAAGTTTAGGGCATAACTCTGATACCATGTTAGGAATCACGACTCTCTACAATGGTATGATATTGTCCACTTTGAGCATAAGCTCTCATGACTTTGTTTTGGGCTTCCCCAAAGGGCTTCGTACCTATGGAGATTTATTCATTTACTTATAATCCCAGGATCATTCCCTAAATTAGCCAATGTGAGACTCACTCCCAACAATCCTCAACAAGATCGAAGGGCTTCGTGAAAAAGTATTTATTTAGAGCAAAACAAAAAATACCCATTCGATACTTTTGGTCATTGATCGAAAAATATTCCATAAAACATTTAAGAATATGCAATCAAATATATATAAGTATTGCTCTTAATTGTATCTCACCCATCCATATATTACATCTTATAGGGGTATATATTTTATGGTGTAATGGGAAAAAAGTGTATAAAAAAGTAATGATAAGGAAAATGCACCAAAAGAAAAAGTATTAAGAGAATACATTCCCAAGGAATAAATATAGATGAAAGAAACTCTATTGAAAGTTTCAAAATTATAAATTCGCCAATTTCTTAAATTATTTAATATCAACCCACAATTCGAGTTCAGGAGGGAGCCGACCACCCTAAGGAGGTTAGCTCGGTCGAATAATCAACGAGGTTAGTAAACTTGTTTAGAATTTGATTGTACTAACATTATTGAACTACTAAATAGACCGATTAAAAATTATTATAAAATATTAGTATAAATATAGAAACTCATTTCCGTAAAGATTGCAAATCATATTGTACTCAGTTCAACATTATTTAAACTCGATATTAAATTAAATATCAAAGTGTGTTGGATAAGCTATGTTTCACAAATTTTCTTGGATAAAAATTAGTAAGACTTCGAACTAAATTTTTACATTAACAATTATCATTATATTATGAGCTGAGTTGTGTCTGTGTTGTATAGACACCTATCACTATCAAATTAGAGGAAGGGAAATTTTGAAGTGTACACATGATCATGTCTTCTTTTGGAGCTATGCCTTGCATTTATATTGTCCATTATCGAACACTATTTGGTCTTTTTAAAGTCAATAATTGAACTGCATAATTATTAACACTTGAATGTAATTACACCTTTGACAAGGTGAAAAATGTTGTAAACAATGCATATGGGTGTTGAAAGAGTCAATAAAGCAAAGATGCAGACTTTGAAAAACGATATTGAGGCTATCCAGATGAAGAATATGGGTGCTCAAAGAGTCAATGAAGAATAGTGAGTCGGTGGACGACTTGTTCAGGAAGTTGATGACAATTTTCACCGGCATTTGTACATTAGGTGACAAGGTGGAGGAAATCTCCATTGACAAGAAGTCCTTCTTGAAGCATCTTCGAGATTCATGTAGATTGTTACTCATCAAGCAGTTTAATGATCTCAAGAATATGTCAGTTGAGGAGGTCGTTGGTTGTCTTAAAACCCAAGAAAAGAGACTTTGTGGCTATAGAGATAGAGAGGAAGAGAAACACCTCTTACTCACACATGAGGAATAGCTTGCACGAACGAAAAAAGAAAAATGCGATTGATTTTTACTTTTTAGGTACAAAGGGATGCAACGGTTACAACATGAAAGCAAAGGTCATGGGCGAGATAGCAAAAGTGGCGACAAAGGATGCCATGACAATATCTCACAAACCTACAACGATGTCAACACTCAAAAGGACAAAAGCATAGTCAATTATTTCTCTTGTAAAAAATACGTGCACTATGTGGCCAAGTGTTGCAACAAGAACCTTACATTTACATATAGCTAAGTGCAAGCACTATTATTGACTAAAACGATGTACAACCTGTTAATGCTCAATGAAGAGAAATGTTATGGCAAACCTTTTAGCAAACAGAGAAGATCCATGGAAGATCAACATCTGCTACCTAGACAACGATGTAAGTAACCATATAGCCAGAGATCTAATAATTAAAGATAAAAGAGAGGAGAAGATTCAACAACACGCGCAATTAAATTACATTAAAGTTCCTTCGTAATAATAGGAAGCACATGTATGCCTAAAGAGAACTATAAAAGTATTGTCTTGAATGAATATAATATTCAAATATTAAATGAGAATTGGGTGATATTATGTACATTGAGTCTCTAGACCTTACATTTTATTTTGATATCACCTTTTAAATTATAAAAAAAAATAAAAAAAAAAATTAAAAAATAAGGAAGGTATAGTGGATGCTGGTGCACCGACATTGACCAATATGGAAGGCACTCGAACTAACCGCCCACTTCCTTTATTATTATTATTATTATTATTTTAAATAACTTACACTAATTATATAAATGGAATACATATTTAACTTATTTATATTTTTAAAAAAATAAAGATGGTATCTCATAATATTCCTAATTATGATTTACTTGATAATAATAAATAAAAGAGACCCAGTTTCCTTGTAGTAGTTTTACCATGCATATTACAAGCATTTTAAACGTGGGCCTTATGAGGCCTCATGAAAGTAATGGGCTCCAACAAATCCCGGAGTAAAGCCATTTTCCAAAATGGGCTTCGTCTGGTTGGACCACTAAATTATGGGCCGAGTTGAAGCCCACTAGAATCAAAACCCTTGGGCCATCTCCATGAACATTGTCTGCAGCTCCTCCATAGTGGCACACTTGCAATCCTTTAAACAAAGGTAACAAAACTGAGCCATGAATTAAGAAAGGAAAAGGAAAAGAAAAATGTATCCATACCTCACTCCTTACTTTGGCCATTAGAGACACCATTTCTTGCATGAACTCATAAAATGCCTGTTCAATTGACCCAGCTATAATTGTTCACTACAACGCTGGGAATCAAAAGAAAAGATCAAATTTGAAAGACCCAAATGAACATTGAGACCTCATTGTGTTCATCATCATAATCGTCTTCATCATTGTAGAAGCCAGCATCGTACAATGCTCTCTTCCTCTGGTCCGACAAAACTGCTCCATAATCAAAACATATGATCAACCAAGAACACAATAAGAACAGGACTTTTGGATTGGTTAATGAATGGAAATTACCCGAATAAGCTTGTTGAATCTGCTGGAATTTGGCTTTGGCTTTGCTCAGTAAAGCAGGGGCCGCTCGTCTTCTCGCCCACCGATCCGGATGCCATCGCTGCACCGCAACACAACCAAAATTAGACATTCCATCTTCTACTTCAATCTAGCTGTACAGGAAAATGGTATCTCCGGATGCTACCATGGCCAGCCGCCGGTAAGCCCGCCGAATCTCTTCTGCGGAACAATCCGACCCGACTCCTAGAATGGTGTAATAAGAATCCGACCCGAGTTTATGGCGCTCCATTTCTTCGTCTTCAGATTGTGACACGATTGGAATAATTGCATTTATAGGGACGGAAGATGGGTCAGTGGACCATCCGGAAGGTTCTTGATCGATTTTGCTGGATGACGTGGAGGATCGGCGAGAACAGATATTTTTTAGGCTTTTAGATATTTATATCCATTCCTTCTCGATCATTCATACTAATCGCTTCCATTTTTTTATTTTATTTTTGCTTTTTAAATTTATCTTTTTAAGTGTGTCCATTTTAATCTTAAATTTAATTTTGGTTCATCAATAACTCTCATAATCGTATGATATTATCTATTTTAAGTATAAGTGCTCGTAAATTTGTTAGTGTCATTTTGAGGGGTGTTTTATTTCATTTTGTAGTTGGTTAAAAATTAGAATAAAAATATTTTTATAAATTTGGATTAAACTCTACAATTTTGTTGAAAAACCAAGTTGATTTGAATTTTTTTATAAAAACATAGACGAGTAAACGAGCGGCACATAGCAGCGGGCAATTGAATATGGCGAGACTAGCGGTTACCATGTGTCAAGCAACAAGTTGAGCAACATGTCGGAGATGTGTGTCACTTGCTCGATTAGACTTGTGACTATGTTCGATTCAATAATTTGTGCCCGACCGCGACCTGCATACCAAGACCCTCAATTCAAATTGTTGTTTAGACCAAACTCGATTTTATTGAATAGACTGACATATTTTTTTATAATAAAAAATAAAAAAAATAAAAACCATATATTTTCATTCCATTATAATTAATAATATAATAGTAATTATAGCTTGATTTTTTTGTCTCATCTTGATTTCGAGATTGGCCATAATTTTATTTTATCTCGGACTTACTAGTGAATTTTTAGAAAATTTGGAGCCTTCAACCGGCATAAAAAGCAAACTTGGAGGGGCATGCTACATCCCTACATGCCTATAAGTAACTACACATACTTTAGGCTAATAATGTACTTGTAGAGATCGTCAGGACTTTGCTAGCATGCAAGCGTATCTTGCCTTTGATGGTTAGATTAAGCATGAGTAGGACTCTGAATGAGAAAATTGGATAAAAATGATACGTACGTTATAAAAATTACGAAAATACCTGTAATATGAGAAATTGAGATGCATGCATATTTTAATGTTTTCTCCGGTTTAAGAATGGAGGATGAGATATTGTGATTTGTACTCTAAGTGATTGATGAATGTTATCTCCTCCAATGATCTTGCTTGAATGTATGATTTATGTGCATTTGGTGATTGATAGGAATATCTCTTATTAGACATGTATAAATGAATAGAATATATTTTTCGTGCTTTAAGTGATCGATAGAAACATCTTCCTAGTAAAGCATGCATGGGTGAACCAAACTAAAGATTAAAGTGCTAGAGCTAGAGCTAGAGTTAGAGTGGTTTACACGTTAGCCTAGGTTAGAACATTTCCAATAGACCTAGTGTCATAGTTGTACTTTTTCAACAGTGCGACATCTTGATCTTGACACGCTCATAACAAGCCTTGAAGGGGAACTCAAACCCCATTTACATTTTTTGTCCAACTTTGTGGCTACATCAGACCTTAAACAAGGTTTGTCTTCACCAACCGAACACAACTTGTGTGGAATCCAAACTTGTTCAGCTACACGTCGCTCGTGCATGCATATTCAATCTTCCGAGACTCTAGTCGAATTGATTCTACATTAGGCTAAGTCATTCGGCTCAATATTACCTCTACTTTAGACCAAAGTCTCTCTAATATGGTTTACCTTCGCATATAGTTAAAAAAATGTTCGAAGAACGAGAACATGCCTTCTAACCACAAGAATACAAATAAAGATTAAAACTCTATAAAAGAAATCGTCAACCCTTCAAATGCAGGTTAAAAGAAGTTATTGAACATTATTGTCAAGTTCTTTCCACTATCTTTCTAATTACTACTAATAGAAGTCTACTAATAGAAGTTATGGGCAACTCCACTTACCTTCAATGGTTCATTACAAGAAGTTATAAATTTAAAATAATAAATAAAGTCTTCAAAGAAACTATCAATCAAATGATATTTGTGACAACACCACGCTACACTTCAACCTTACAAATATTAACTTCCAAAGTTCCAAATGGTCTTATAGATGAAAAACGAATGCTTGTTGAATCTTTTTGGCCTTAGAACGTGTAAGAAATCCAGTTGAAACTTGTGGAACACCATGATTCTTATCACTCTCATTAGCAACGTCGCATCTCATAATCATCTAGGTTCCCATCAAACAATCTATACATCGTGTTGTTGTCCCAAGCCAACTAGGTCATCGCAGCTTGCTTGAAAATATCAATTGAAACTGACCCATTTGTCATTCATCTTATTAGAACATCCCGAACATCCATCTATTCGAGTTCTATTAAGGCATTGGACCCTCCCGTGTCCATGCTATATCATTTATGGAATCTATTCTTGTCACACATATGCTCGCTTAAGCCACAGAGCATAGGGGTGGTGGAGAGCTGACATCATGCTTCCTCATGTAGTACATTTTGAGGCATTTTCAATTTTTCTCGAGTAGATGTCTTTTTAATGAACGATCATACGATGTCATGGAGCGTCTGTCCAGTGTCCAATTTTCATCAAATTTGGTGAACATTCATATTTCATATGGACAAATTTGACTCTAGAACCACATGCAAATTTCCTCCAAAACCCCAACTTTTGAGGTGAAGGCTTGAGACCCTATCCAACCCTTCAACAAGCCTACTTTTGACATTCATGCATGCTCGTAGCCTCTATCTTGTAACGCCTCGACTTATCTTTCATGTACATCTCTGTGGTGCGTTAGATAATGCTCCGTTTCCTCAGTCCAATCATTGCACTCGTCTTGCCTCGGACCTTGCGTGACCGGTTGGGTGTCACTACAGTGTTGCCACCTTGTCTTGTCGGCACGTGAGGGTCACAACCTACTGTCTTCTCGATAACTTTCTTGTGACACCTATCACCCTACAATCATGAGTAGAATTAGAGTTCTAGACATGAGTGCACCTAGTGATCATATTAAACCAATGAACTAATCTCAAGCATCAAACTTAAAAGGTGGATTAAACCATTTAGACGCCCTTAAAAATCTAGTAAATCTCTACCGCATCTAAATAAAATTAAGGAAGCTTAGTTCTCGGTCGCAATCCTATTAAACCAACTCTTAGGAGGGACTTGAGAATAACAAATCAGACTTGAATATGATCAAACTCAAAAAGAAAATAAAACAATTCACATTCTGTTTCTGTAAATGAATCCAAACAAAAGCTACCCCAACTCTCAAACAAAAAAAGGCCGGCCAGAAGGTGAAGCTCTCAAACCATACCACAAACTCTGTTTGATCTTGGCTCATGATTTTCTGAGTTGATCCAACAATGAAGCAGCCTTCCGCCTCGCTCTCTCCGTGCCATCCTCGGAAAGTTTCATCAACGGCACCGCCGCGCCTAGCCTGGTTAACCATTCCAGCTTCTCCCAATCTCCCTTGCACAATGCAAGCAGAACTGCCACTGCATTTTCCCTGCTGCGAGACGACCCCTTCTTAAGAACATTGGTCAAAACAAGCAATGAATTGGCATTCCCCATTGCAGCCTTGGCCTCCGGATGGCTGCAAAGAACTGACATTATATAAAGAGCGTCATCAACCAATGTGCCGTTTGAATCAGAGAGCATTTTCAATAATAGTTTGACAATCCCAGCCCTGAAAGCTCTGCCTTTGTTCCCTTGGTACATACACAAATTCAATAGAGCTCCTGCAGCATCTTTCTGCCCTCTTGGGCTTCCAATCTGGAGGATTTCTATAAGGTCCGGGATCACGCCTGACGCCCCGATCATCGCCTTGTTCTCGTCGGCTAATGACAAGCTGTAAATCGTCCCAGCAGCACACTCTCTCCCTTCCATGCTCCCAAATTTGAGGACTTGGGAAATGTAAGAAAATGCACCATGAAGCATTATAAGTCTCTTGTTTGGCTCATGAAGTGAAAGGTTCAAAATGCATGAAATTGCATTCTCTTGTGTTGCAACATCTTCTGAAGTTAAAAGGATAACCAGCTGTGGGATTGCTCCGGCTTTTGCTATTTCAACTCTATGATCTGAGCTGCTTTTCGATAGCTGTCGGATCTCGGTCACCGCCGCCTTCTGCTCCTGTACAGACCCGAAAGAAAGGTGTCGAACCAACGTTTTGATCGGTAATGTCCTTCGGCAACCGTCCTCGAATGATCTATACTTCTTAAGTTTCCTGTTGGTTAATCCTTTCTCTAAATTAACATTGTGTTCTCCACACCATTCTGAGATCAAATTTCTCATAGCAAAATTTGGAGTGAGGATCAGAGATTGAAGCTGCTCTTGAGTCTTTGGACATGTTGTATTTCCTCTGTCTATCCATTTTTGTATGTTGTATCTTTCATATGTCTACAAATGATCATAACTAAGTCAGTCCTGAAAAGTTGTTTTCTCGAACGGAACAAATCAATGGCGATCATACCTGTCCGGTCGAGACGATGACGGGATCGATCATCAATTCAAGGGAAATGGAACATAAGAAGTTCTCAGGAATTTCAATTACATCAAGCTTCCCAACTTCATCTTGGCTCTTGATGGATAGAACATCTTCCATTTCAGAATGAACACTTGAACACTCATTGAAACATGGATTCGAGTTCTTTATCTCATCCGAATCGAAACGGATCAGATCGTCGCGGTTCGGAGGACAATGCTGAGAGTCTGGATCACCATTATCAACACTAGACATGGTCTTGACATCATGAAAGATCATGGCTTTTACAGAACCTGTAGCTTCAAGCTTCTTATGTGTGGGGTCAGACATAGACTCATAGTTCTTTGATGCTCTCATCAGCTGAGCTCTGACCAAATCAACCTTAAGAAACAAAACAAAAACTTTCTCAAACATTAGGGTAATGATTTGAAACTTAAGTGGAGGAATGAAGGTGTTATGTTTACCTGTTCTTGTACTTCGTCTGCTACACAAAAGTGGTCGTATGGCAGATTTGAGAGTGCAGTT